TGCGCGGTAGTCTGCTTGACTCCGCCCACGTATCACTATGAAATGTGCCTTTGAAAGTACCAAAGGGCACGTTTTTTGTTGCAAATTCTTCGAATACTATCTTTTACCACGAATACGCTCGCGGCAAAACGCTTTATTTTGTTTATTTCTTGAATATTTATTTTGGAAATTCGTAGTATGTGGTATGTTTTTTTCCAATGGAGTTGCCTCTATACTGTATCTCTACTGTTTAGATGCCCCGAATGCGACTACCTGAATTCGAATTCGGTATGGGAAGCGAAAAAGCATTGCACAAGCCAGCATGGTCGAGGGGTCGAGCCGATTAGTAACGAGGAAAAACATAAGACACTCATACTTGGTGAGTGTTTTTAATTCAGTGCACCAGATCATTAAAGGCAGTTGGCACGATAATTCCCGCACATAGATTGGCATCAATACTCGTGCAGGATTAGAATTCCCGCGACCTTTGCAGGCGCTGCATAGCGATTTCCCTCGAAAACTCCGTGGCTATGGGATAGCAATCGCGACCTTGGCAGGCGCTGCATAGCGGTTTCCCCGAGGAAGGTGCCTTATAAGGGCCCTATCAAGCCACAACTTTACGTCCCAAACGCCCGCGCCCGCCCGCCCACAAATGGACGACCGTTCCTGACGCTCGTATTCATTCATTTGCTAAGCAAATTATGAAGCGAAGGGATTGGTATGAAGCGGCGTGATGCTGCATGCATATATGGGTACACATATGCAGCCGTATCTTCGGTAGCGGTGATTGGTAAGATGCCTACGGGAAACTCGTCCGAAATCGATTTACAAGTCACTGAGAACGGAGGCTTTTTCTTCGCAGGATTTTGTACCGCGTTCGCACTGCCGTTCTTTCGTGCCATTTCCGCCCTACTACCAGCGCCCCTATTAGGGATTTTAGGCTAAAGTAGGAAACCATAGTGCCAATGCCTTTTTCAGGATTTCGAATGGCGCCACGCTCCTGGACTACGTGGATAATCAGGCTGGCAATAAACGCTTCAATATGTAACAGTCTTGTTCGGTGCGGATGGTGGAGCGTGTCAGAAGGGCTTGGTTTTGGCGCGGCACCAATCCTTTCTCCATCAATTGTTGAAGTGGGCAAGCGATGGCAATTTATGGAAAAACGAACTGGCGCCGGCCAATCCTCCAGACCTCCTGACACGCCCCAGCATCCGGCGAACGAGACTGCAAAGCCTCTGGCCGCGCGGGTCATCGGCCCGATATCGGCTGACCGGCTCATCATGTTGATGTGAGTGTTTTGAGATTTGGCACAAAAGTCATTGAGCTTCAAAGGAAAGAGGTGACCCTGGTGGCGTAATTGATAGCGCACTTGCCCTGAAGGCGTGAAGTGCGGTTCGAGCGCATAAATTAAAGGGTTTTGCTCATAGCTCAGCCATGTAACTTCAATGCATTACAGATGTGGAATAAACGATGTTTCCCGGACTGGAAGCAGAAACGGCCACAATGGTGGTCGACTGATGACAATTCAACGAACAAATCATTCGATTTCCCATTCCACTAAAGAAAACAAGGACACTAGAACAATAGACAAAACGTTAGACAACGATGAAGTGACAGCGATGATTAGGGTTAGTGGTACATTAAAAAATTAAATTTTTTACAAAAAATTCATTAGCTTATTCAAACATTCAAGATGTGGAGTGTGGAATGGTTGGGCACACGCCGACTACTTCCTGAGCTTCATCCGGTAGGATTCAGTAACGGGTGAGCGACTGGAGAGGTGATGACATTTTGGGAAGGGAGGAGGGGCTGAGGGGAGCAATTCGTACTTTTTATAGTTGCGTCGTAAGTGAAATCGACTTAAGCCCAGTTCAGAATTCAGTTTTGCTCGGACTTATGGGGAAGGAGGAGGGGGGAGGGTTTTTAACTCGCTAGTCCCTTCTGCTACTCCATGTCACTGAAACAGCTTGGATAAAACACTTGTTAAGCTCGCGAATGTACAAATGGCCACTTTGGTAGGATTTTGGAGTTGCTCACAGAGAAGCCTTTGCAGGCCCTCAATTGACCACGCTTTTTTGCTCACCGCAACGAACTGCTCCGCAAAATTCATAAGTTAGAAAGATAAATGAAATGAGTAAGGATCGCTCAAGGTTAAGGAGCCGTGCTGTTAGTGGAATCGTGCGCTGATCGTTAGGTCGGGCTTGCGAGTACACTTCTCACTGGATGCTTCTTTGAGATGACCATAAAAGAATAGAGCGACCACTGAGCAAATAACTTTACTGCCAGTGACCGCACCCACATGAGCAATTTAGAACGTGCCCTCAAACTATTCTACTTCGGTGGTGTCATTGAGCTTTTTGCAAGATTCGTATTTCTTGGCGTCAGGCCAACACTAAGGTAGTCGGCCTAAGAAAAGAGGCGCTAAATCTGAAACTACCTTCCTTTATGTTCTGGCATGTACAGCTGTGATATCCGGCATATGCTTTGATATTTGGGCTAAATGTGACAAAGATGAAGCAATCTGAAAATGTTTTAGGAAGCAATTCTTTGTCGAGAACCTGGCGATTCAATAATTCGTGATGAAGATCGGGACGATTCCGAGCCAAGAACGCCAGCCCCGGAAGGACTGCATGTGGACGATCGTACTTGTCATTTGTGCTGGGAAGAGAGTCGGTAAGTGCAGGTTTGGCTGACATTTCAAAAGGAACAACATCAGGGTTCATCAGCGTTCGTATAGTTCCACTATGTGTCCAGCGCAAAATTTTTCAGGTACCCTGGAAGACACATAGCACAAAAACACCTGAAAAAACCGTTGTATGAGTGTCCTGTGTGCGAAGGTTTCGGCAGCTATGAGGGGTGTACGGTACTGAAGCACATCCACAAGGTGAGCCTGAAATGACATCATTAGTAATAAGTAATAGGTAAACTACCTATCCGTCGACTTATAGGTGCATCCTGACTGTCCAGATGCGCAGCCACTTAGCAACCTAGAGCGGTATGCGGACGAAATACGTGATCTTCAAAACCGATGTTTCCCCAATCGTCCGATGAAACTCGTCCGGCCAAAGGAGAGCACTCGTCCGAGAGAGCGTCATCATTGTAAGATTTGTGGAACGCAGGTGAGCTGAGCGAGCCTATTGAATTTTTTTATCTGCTTGGGCTACTTCTGACCGATTGGAAATCAATGTCCACGTTCATCGTGTGGGCGGAGATAGTCATCGACGGTGCCTTCTTCATTGGTATGCCCTTGTTGGCAGGATACAGCATCGTGATATGTGAAATGGCGGTGCCAGTACGACCCCCTACCCACAATCTTCCTATGTTTCCCCACACTTCCTACCACTTCTCCCAGTTTACCAAGATTTTTTTCTAGTTTTTCTCCAAAAAACTGCCGTCGCGCAAAAGTAAAGGAGCGGAAAAGAGTTCCCCGTGGCTGGGAAAAAGTTTACGACCCCACCTTCCCAGCGACTAAGCGCCACCCCTTATGGGATTCCTCTAACGATGCTGTACCCTGCGCCTTAAAACGTTAAAGAGAGGGAGCTGTTACTGGAGAAATCACAAGAATTGACTGTCTCCGCCCACACGATCGACGCTTACTGTCCTTTTGCATAGAATAAAGCGAAAAAAGGGAAAAAAGTGCACAGTATAACTCTTTCAGGTAGCACAGTCCGATCGCCAACGGCATGTGTATCACAGGCATCTACAGCGTACACGTATTTTTGAGTGCCCGTTGTGTAATTTTGCGTCGAATTATGACGTTCATAGGTGAGACTAAACTTTCAATCGATATAAATGCGATAGTAATGTGAAAAAAATCGCTTTTCTAGAGTGAAATGGCATATCAAGTGGATGCACAAGGATGACAAAGAGTTGGAACCGATTTCCCACGAGAACGAGTACAGGTAGTGTAAATGTACTGTAATTATTTTTGAAAGTATCAGTTTACTGAAAAATGTAGATTTTTCCGTTAAAAATGAGTGGGGAAGTATTTCTGGGAAGTAGTTACAGACAGGCCGTAAGTTTCTTCCGTAGAATACGTCAACTTCGTCAACTATGCCGCGTTGCGTCCGCACGCGTCCTAGCTCGAAGGTTTCCTAATAAGGTGTGGGGCAAAATAGCTGTGATGTACTGGTAACCAGGATATCACAGACTATTTTGTCCTAGATGGTATTCATCTCTCGCGTTTTAAGGGTGACAGTTTATAGTTCCGACAATTAGCGTCCAAACCCGAGCTAGGAGATTTGAGTTACAGGATTCGTGGCAAAGATGACGTCGCGTGCGTTGCATCCGGACCAAGACCTAACTGATTTAACGTGAAATGCTGCAATTTGTCTAATCTAGTAGCTAGGAATTTCAAGCTAGTTTAGGCTCATTGCCGCAGCGTGGGTTTCCTGACCTGCCCACACTGGGAACCGAGACAGCAATACGCCATACTCGGTCGGTCATGTCATCCCTGAACTTTAGGGGAAAGTATCTCAAACCTTCACGTGCAATAATCGCGCGCGGCTGCACTTGTGTAGTGTCCGTTGACGGAAAACGGTGCAAGCCGTACTGACCTTTTTATCTAAAAACTCTTATTCGAATTACTATCTACTGATTTTTGTTTATAGGAAGGAAATTGACCAGCTCAACGAGGAATGTTTCCCTGGTTGGCAACACCGTCGAAAACCTTTCTGGTGGTTGGAGAATGATGAGAAAAGGCCTGAGGTATGAACTTGCTGAGTTGTTAAAGGGTCAGTATCGGCCGTGTCACAGCCGTGTACGCACGAATTTTCACGTGCGTTAGAACGGCTTTGCACTACCTCTTGCTGAATGAGGCAGCGATCCGTCTTGGGGGGGGGCATTTTCTCGTTCCCATCGATCCCTGCCGTGTGGAGACCGTAAATTCCTGAAATGCTATGCAGTAACAGGAATTTTCTCTACGAGCCTACAGATCACGCCAAGGTGTGAATTTAATTCAACAGGAACTAATAAAAGCAGCTAGTGGCAGAGCAAAATGTCACTCCCAAGCCGAATAGCGTCCTGAATGACTAATTAGTTATGGTCAGTAAAGGTAGCTTATACATGGTTATCGCGTATCAAGTTATCCGTTTTCAGTCCTAGTTCCACAGTTGTTATCGCCGCAATCAGTCGGAAGGTTGTCATGAGGCATGAAATGAGCCCACCCGCGGCGGTTTCTACCACTGGTTGTTTTCCTCCTCAATCGATCCCTAACCGACACTAGAAAACACAGCTGAAGTGGGGCTCATCCCACGCCTCCTCACACCACCCCGACTTATTGTGACAAAAGCAACCGTGCATCGCCCCGAATGAGGCCCGAAAGTACCATCTGTCTTCCTGGAACGTTTCGTGCATCCCTTTGGGATACGGCACGCGTTCAATTTCAGGAATTCTGGAGGCGCTTGAATGCGTAGTTGGCCCAAAGGATAACTTACAGGAACAGTCAGTGCTGTAAAGAGACAAACTCCTGCGATTTTCAGATGAAACATGAAGAGCTGGAGATTGACGTGGACAGCATCGAAAACGTCTCGGATTGTGCAAAGGACAGCACCCCAAGTTCAATTGGCAATGATGAAGTCAGTATTACTCTAGCTCTTTTGCAAATCATTGTGATGTAATATGACGTGATACGGTATGATATGACATGATACCTCACGATACAAAATGAGATATGATATGATGTCAAGTTGGAAAAGGGATAAAATAGTATGACACACAGACATGTCGGATTATATACTTTAACACGTGCTGGACCGCATGACACACATGGTGTGTCATGCGGACACCTATGGCGTGTCATACCTTATCTCTGCGCCATTTCCTATGGTTTCATTTGGCATCTATTTCTGATCCTTTAAAGTTATCAGAACAATGAAATTACGGATTATCGATGTGAAGCGTAAGATATGATGCGAAGATCCTGGCGGCGGGCCACAATGTGTAAAAAAATCTGTTACTTTAGTTGATATCATATCATGAGATATCATAATGAATTATACTGTATCACTTAATATCGTGTATAATACGTGATATCTTCAACTTTAGTCAAAAATAGTAAATAGTAAACAATTGTGCTTAGTCAATATATCTATTCAGGATGACTCATTATACGATGAATCATTGGATAATAACAAGGATCACGTTGGTCAGCCGATGAAACGTGTCAGCGAATGGACGTGTCGGGTTTGTTACTTTGGGGCGTTTAGTTGTATTAGGTTGTCCTAAAAGTTCGTGAACATTTTTTTCTCGTATCAGATCTTTCCTTAGCCATTTCGAGATCCAGTTATGTGGTCTATGGGAAGTGTGTTAGGTAAGCATCCCACAGCTTCTTTACCGTCCCTCGCAGTCGCTGTTCTCATATCCAAAACGGTAATTGAAATCACCAAGCCACAACGTGGTTGGAGCCACAAGCGGCATTTCTCTGAGTTAGGTCCTGATGGTACCTTCCACAGTACGGCGCTGAAATGGCCCGATCGCTTCCGCTTGAGTGACTTCTATCTGGGAGAAAAACTTCGTCCAAGGAGGCCACCTGCCTTGGATTTGGACCTACTGTGTTCCTTGATTAAAACCAATTCGTACAAATCAACTTGCTATCTAGTCCTTACACTTGACTGGTCCCAAAGCACAAATGAGAGAGGGCCTCGCTCCCCTTAAAAAA